TAAGGATAAACTAGTAAAAGTCTCGGTCAAACAAAAAATTGCTCATAAGCTGAAAAATCATAAGTTGAGAGTGACTAAGAGGGTGTTTGACTAAGCTTATAAGCACTTTTTGGCTTATTTACGCGTTTGGTAAAATTAAAAGTGCTTATAAGTTAAGTGCTTATAAGCCAAAAATAAGCCGGAAGTTGGTCACCCCCAACTTATCAAATTTCAGCTTATAAGCACTTTAAGTTTGACCAAAATATTTACTATTATATCCCTAAAATACTTCTTTTTAAAACAAAACTCTTTGTATACCCAGTTCTTCAGCTACTTATTATTAATTTCAGCACTTCTATCCAATCAGGTAACTGCTTATTTTTTAAATCAGTTTCAGCACTTAAAAGTGCATTTCAGCACCTACTGCTTATCAGCGGTGTTTGGCTAAGCTTTAAACTGGCTTATAAGCACCTTTTGGCTTGTCTACACGTTTGGTAAATACCCAAAGTGCTTATAAGCTAAGATCAACCATAAGTCATAAGCTGATCACCCCAACTTATGGCTTTTCAGCTTATGAACACTTTTAATTTGACCAACACTTTTACTAGTTTATCCTTAATAATATTTTCTAATTCACAAAATGCTTTTACCAAAATAAATTTCTTGACCTTCTTTTCATTCCATATTCATTTGTTAATTACAAAGAAAATTTTAATTTATAATCTTCTGGAAAAAAATCAAGGATATTTTAGTAATTTTAATAAAAGATTAGCATACTAGCACTTTTTAATCAAACACATCAACTACTTATTATCAGTTTCAACACTTCTATCCAAACACGTAAATGCTTATTTTAAAAATCAGTTTCAACACTTAAAAAACTTTTCAGCACTTCAAGCTTATCAGCTATTTACAATCAACTAATCCAAACGGGCTTTAACTTATGATTTATGACTAATTTTAATTTATAAGCAAAGTGCTTATAAGTATTTTGGGCGTTTAATAAACGCGTAGATAAGCCAAAAATATACTTTTAAGTAAGTTTGATTTAGCCAAACACCCTCTAAAAAGGAAAAAACGGAAGGAGTGGAGTATTATCCATTTGCTCATCTTTCTCTTTTTACACCGTCATTTTCTTTCCACAAGTTCTCCATATACATCGTCATGCTTCTAAAATTAGCTCCAGCTTTCACCTTGTTGAATAGCCATGGTGAAAATCTAAGTCCCATGTTATCAACTTCTTCACAGGGATTTGTTCTGAAGAATTTTTCTACAAAAAGTAGAAATGGATTATTAGTTGTATGTGCTTCAAAGGGTTCGAACACCAAGCCTTTAACAGGAGTTGTGTTTGAGCCTTTTGAAGAGGTGAAAAAAGAGCTTATGCTTGTACCTACTGTTCCTCAAGTTTCTCTTGCTAGACATAAATACTCTGATCAATGTGAAGCTGCTGTTAATGAACAAATCAAGTACGTTTTTGAACATCCCTTAGTTTCAACCCTCCCTCCCCCCCCAAATCCCCTTTTGGATGTTTAATTTTTAAATTATTTTTTGAAAATATAAGTGGGCGTTTGGACACAAGAATTGTAAAATTCCAAAAAAAAGTGAAAAATATTTTCAAGCTAAAATGGTATTTGAATTAGAGTTGTGTTTGAACATAATTTTAAAGTGAAATTGGTTTGTTTTGAAGTTTTGTGAGTAATCTGAGGAAAATTTTGAAAAACAGCTTTTTAGAGTTTTTTAAATTTTCGAAAAAATTACAAAATGCATCTTAAAGTGAAATTGGAAATTGTATGAACAAATTTCGGAGAAAAGTAAATAAAATTCGAAAAAAGGGAAAAATTTCTTATGTCCAAACGGGCTCTTACTTCCTCCGTTGTCCCAATTAATATGATGCACTTTAATTTTTACTCTCTGCCCCAATAAAATGATAAACTATTATATTTAGAAATTATTTAACGTTAAACTTACTATTTTATCCCGTATTAGAGTTACATAAAAAAATACAGTGTAGCTAGATAGTTTGAATCCCTTTTGGCTTCTTTGTGTATTTATTTCTTTAAATTTCAACTCCCCTTACTGAAAATATTGGTTTGTCGCTGATTTTATCTTTAATAAAATGATTTACAGTGGAACAATTATGTACAAATAGCACGTCAAAACTACATCACATAAAATGAAAGGGAGGGACTATTGGAGGAAATGGGCCTTCATGTCTTTTTTACAATGTTGAAATTAAGTAATTGTCTTTTTTAGATCTGTTCATGTAAATGATAGATCTCTCATGTATAAAAGCAAATCTGCCATGTTTAAGAAAAACTTGGGGTCATAAAACTAAAAATAAATTTGTAATGGACCATAAAACCATTTGACCCGGAGTATTGAATAGTGAAATGAAAGAGGTCCAAATGGAGGGAATTTTGTTGTTTTCTTACATTTCAAAAATTATTATGGTTTGTTTTCTAGAGTATCTATTAATGGGATTATTTTACAATTTTATGTGATTGCAGCGTGGAATACAATGTTTCATATGTCTATCATGGGATGTATGCCTATTTCGACAGAGATAATGTTGCTCTAAAGGGACTTGCCAGGTAATATTTTCAAAGATTTTCTCGAATTTGATGTGTGTTTATATGATTTTTTTAAGTGGTAGTATGTGATTTTAGGTTATTGTTTTGTTGACTTAGGTTTTTCAAAGAATCAAGTGAAGAGGAAAGAGGCCACGCTGAGAAATTGATGGAGTATCAGGTGTTTGACGTTTTGCTATAATGAAAATTTTGTTTAACTCTTTTTCTTTTTCTCTTTTGGGGGCTGTGGAGCGGCTAAATCTTAGCAGCCAGTTTCATATGTTAATTGAGTTGGTTCTAACTTTATGTGTTTTATGGTGTAGAACAAACGTGGTGGGAAGGTGAAGCTACAGTCGATTTTGATGCCACTATCTGAGTTTGATCATGCTGAGAAGGGCGATGCGTTATATGGTAAGTTTGTTTCTGTTCTCTTATGTTGTAATCCTATTTTTGTAGTTAGACTTAAATCTACTCATGGTGCTAGTAGATATGGTTGTCTAGATTTTGCGAGTTGCTCAAAATGCTCTCTGCTCATCAGAGGGAAAATTAATTATTTGGCAGAGGCCAGCATGTGTCTTGCATAATTTACAGAGAACTGAGTGCTTCTTTTATTTTTATGGCCTCGTAAGCTCAAATGCCTAATAACTACTATATCCCCTTCCTTGGAATTTTGTGAATTTAGAAATATTGAAGTTCTTTTGTTGTTGCATTCTGAAAATAGCAGATTGAGCTTTCAGTTCCTTACCACATGCTTTGTTGAATTTATTCTTTAGCGATGGAGCTTGCACTTTCTTTGGCGAAGTTGACAAATCAAAAGCTTTTAAACTTGCACGCTGTGAGTTCTTCTACTATTCTTGTTTTGTTGTATCCTTATTCATTTGGATCAATTTTGGAATTGGCAACCATTGTGTTGGTTCCCGATACCAAAATTACAAAATAAAAAACCAGAAAGAATTATTTTTTACATTGTGGCTTTAGAATATGTCATTTATGCATTTTGGCTGATGTAACCTTTAAAAACAGGTAGCCACACGAAACAATGATGTGCAGTTGGCTGATTTTGTTGAAAGCGAGTACTTACGAGAACAGGTCTGGGTTCCTGAACTGGAAAAATACTATTTGTTTAACGGAGTTCTTGAGCTTTAAATACTAAATGCAGATGGAGTATCAATGATACTGATTTAAGAAATGTTCTGCTTATTAGGTGGAAGCAATCAAGATGATCTCGGAATATGTGGCTCAGCTGAGAAGAGTGGGCAAAGGACATGGTAGGATCGCTCTCCCTTGTGAATAGCTTGTCATTAATTGCAGTTTCCATATCTGTTTATTAACTTTTCATCCTCTTCGGCTATAATTTAGGTGTTTGGCACTTTGATCAAATGCTCCTGCAAGAGGAGGAAGTTGTTGCATGATGGAGAAGATAGTCTTACTCCAACTTTCCATGTGTGCTCTGCCCTTTTGGAGGATGTCGTTTTGGGTATATGTTTGTATTAGCGTTGTCTATGATATATGGAGTGTCTTAGTAGCAGAAAGTCCCGGAGTTGTGTACATATAGACCAAATAGATTTACTTATCTGTGCTACTATTACTCTTTTTAGTATTGCTGGCATTTGAATCAGTTTAATCTTCCTATCATGATTGCTAGTTGTAGCTTGAAATCAAAGGTGTACCAGAGACGTCAAATGTAAAGAGAAATTACCAGTTTTGTTTCTTGAAGGATGTTGGTTCAGCTGGAGTAATAAATGATTGTATTTGAGAAGGGGTCGCTTTGTTTCCAGTGTTTGTTTCTGTGTTTCTGCAAATTATTGCAGGAAGGAGTCAACACTCGTTCAGGTGAGTGAATTTCCAACAACAACAACATTTTATAAACCATATGGTAGTACGAACTTGGCGAATCAAACCACTATATAATTCTATAAAAAATTTCTATTTTGTTAGTCTCAACATTAGCTCAACCCTCTTCTTTCGGGCCCGATATCTGCGAAATTTTCCAACAACAACAACAATAACATACCTAGTGTAATTTCACAAGTGGAGTTTGGGGAGGTTATTGTGTACGCAGATTTTACCATTATCTTATGCAGGTAGAGATTTATTTTCAATAGACCTTTGGCGAAAAAAAGTAAAAATAATAGTAATTTAAAAAGAAATAGAAAAAGACACGAAGCTGTCAGATTTTCCAAGTAGCTTTGAAATAACAACTCGTTACCGAGTATCACAAAGGAGATAATTTCTTTTCCTATCTCTCTTTTTATTTTTAATAAATAAATTAAAAGAGGTGCGAATATTTAACTGTTCCAACTAAGAGGAGAAACGAAAGGATTTTGACACGTGTCAACAATACATGCTCCTAATTGTATCACCCGTGGACCCCATTAGTTACTGTCCATCTTGATCTAACGGCCAATTGGAGTTGACCATTGGCATATAAAATCTCGAGCCGCTTCTCGAAAAGCATGAACCTACTTAGCTTCTTCTCGAAGAAAAATCCACTATAAATAAAGCGCAAACAATTACTAAAAACCGAGGGAATCACGAACAAATAGAAAGAACAAATGTTGAAAAACTCCATTAATATTGCTCTGCTACTACTGCTTCAAGTTCTACTAGCGATTGCGATACACACAAGCGCTGATGAATCCTTCAACGTCCGTCAACATCTGTCAACTGTTTCGAGGTCTCTCTCTCTCCCTCTCAATTTGAATATTAACACTGTTAAAGAGAAATGTGATTCGATGTATGCAGCAAGTATTCTAATTTTGAGCTATATGAATTTAAGATTTAAAATTGCGGGCAACTATTCCAGTAGAGGTGTCAAATGGGCGGATTGGGCTGATATTGAGCGGATTAAAATGGACCGAGTCAATAAATGGAGGCGTCAATAACTTGCCCAAAAGTTACTTGAGTCAAGATAGACTAAAATTTGGGTCATAATCTAACACGCCCCCAACTCTTTATCAGTGTATTGTTCTTTTTTAAGAATTATTTAATTATCAAATAAGATTTTTTTTTCTTTTATTATAGTCATAAATAACATAACAAAAAAAAAAAAAAATTAAAGATATTTTAGCAAAGTTACTCATGATCAATTTGAGCTAAAAACCAGCCCAACTTTAGATGGGTCAAGATAGATTGAGTTTAGTGGTAGCAAAAATGGATAATAAAAATAGTTATCCATCCATATTATCCACTATTGAATAATGAACTTTTAAAAATAGGTCAAATATGGATAAGAATCATATTATACGCTTAAAAAATGGATAACCAATGAGTTTAACTTTTACATTTGCAAAGACTCAAATTTGGACTTCTTCAAGTTTGAGAGACTAAGAATTCTCCCAAAAGTGATTATATTTAAGAAGCCATGGATAATATGAATATTCATATATTCATATTATCCGCCGGTTAACCCTTTTTCTATCCGTAATAAATATGAGTCAGGTCTAATATTTTATTCGTTTTTGCATTACCCGTTTTCAACCCGCCCATGTCCGATCCAACCCACCCGTTTGCCACCCTACCTGAGTTAAACAATTGGGCGGGTCAATGGCCGGCCTAACCTTGGGCGGGTTGAATGGTTTAGGCGCAAATTGCCATCCCTAATATCCACTATGTGGTTATGAGTGTGAACTAATATAATTATGGATTTAGGTTCTATGTACTGATAGTGTTTCATTTTTAAATTATCATTAGATTTTAACATGTGATAGCAGGTTACTTAACATTTTTACCAAATTACCAATTGTAAGGTATCAAGAGATTTAGCTGTAATTAACTAGTAATAATTAACTAATAAGCGACCTGATTGTGTGATATTTTTTGTATTCTTTGTGCGTAGAACTTAAACTTAATAAATTGTTTATATTTGACGATGATTCAAGTTATATAGATTGTGCGGAAACTAATTACATTGTTAAGTAATTTGACTTGTTTTAGCATGTTACCTATGTTCTTTTCAGGTTACTAATCAATCTTATTATAGAGTTCCTGTAATAACCTATTAGACGACTTGATTGTGTAACATAAGTGGCATAGAATTTAAAAGAAAATAATTCATTCAACATATACCATTGTTGAATTACACTATTGATTTACTTGTTTATTGGTTTCGCTTTGGTTTCACATGCAGATACGATATTGTGAAGGATATATCTGACAATTCTTTTGTACCTTCCCAAATTCCAGATCAATGTACTCCGATTCATTTGAATCTTGTGGTGAGTCTTTGTTTTAGTGTTTCTACTGGTCAACTTTCCTTCTTGTGGTGCCAAATGCGAATTGGTTTAGAAATTTTAAGTTTTGCTGTGTTCTTCTAAAGAAAAGCGCAGCTTCGTTTATGAAGCTTCCTGCGTTCGCGCAGGATCCGAGGAAGGGGCCGTACCCCAAAGGGCGTGTGATGTAGGCAGCCTACCCTGATGCAAGCATTGATGGATGATTCCACGGCTTGAATCCATGACCTATAGGTCACAAAGAGACAAGTTTACCATTGCTTTGTGGCTTTCTTTCAGTTGTGTTATTTTCTGTTATTGATTTTTATGTAACTATACTGAAGCTTTTCATTGCCTGCGCTGAATAGGAAATCTGTGTTTAATAGTATTACCCTTATTATTCCTCTGAATCTGAAAGAACAGTCATGGAAATTGTGGATATGTGTGCCTAGGGTGCATCAATACTATATCACCTTGTCTTTATACTCTAGGCCTCAGAGTACATTTTGATATTTTCTCGACTTTATTGAATAATACAAAAGTTTAGTCCGCCATTGGAAGTCTATCTGCACCATTGAATAATACAAGTTGGAGCAATATTTTGCTTATTACTTATTTATTTTTTATAACTGTGGTGCTTGGGCTAGCTCATGGGTTTGCGCGCTTCTCGACTAATCCACGCTTCTCGACTAATCCACTAGGTTCCTGTTACCTTCCATCAACATAGGTACCGGGAACCAAGATTTAGACAAAATGGAGAAATCACCTAGTAGTGCTTTGGCTAGAATGCAAACCTTAGTTCCTAAGATTGTCACTCCAACTCTTCAGCCGGTTGGCCATCTTATTGGGGAGTGAAGCAATCAGAAAATCTTAATTCTGTTAAGATTTGGAAGATGCTAAGTATATAATACTGAAGGAAAGTCGCAGAAGGTATCCCATAAAACTAGATTGCTAGTAAAGTCATATCTAATTCACCAAATGATTATAGCTCAAGATTTATTTAACTTATTAGTAGCTACTAATCTGTACGACTACTCAAAAATTTGAACAGGATTGTCCTCCATTTTTGAGTGTCCTGTATCTTGTCCTACCGTTCTGTTTCATTCTAAATGTAGGTTCAAGCTTCTTCTCATCCATGTCGATTACTATTGGAACTTTATCTGCCTTCCATTTTCCCTTTTGAGCTTTATAGTGGAAAATACGTAGACATTATTTGCTTGTAAAACTTGCACCAATGTGAATTTAGGGGTTCCCTTATATAAATTGTTCTTGATATAAAAGGAAATATTTGATGGTTTCTCTCAAGTAATGCTATGTTCATAAGAGATAGTTCTATATTGATTTATCTTAATGGGTGACTTCTTATTCGGTAGGCACGGCATGGCACTCGTGCTCCTACCAAGAAGAGGATAAGGGAGTTAGAAGCCTTGGCTGGTCGACTGGAAGTCCTTGTACGTGATGCTAAGGAACAGAAGCAGTCTTTGGATAAAATTCCTGCTTGGTTAACAGGATGGAGCTCTCCTTGGAAGGGAAAACATACGGGTGGAGAGTTGATCCCTGAGGGCGAAGAAGAGTTATATCAGCTTGGTATCAGAGTCCGAGAACAGTTTCCAGACCTGTTTAGTGATGAATACCACCCTGATATATATTCAATCAAGGCTACCCAGGTTGACAAATCAGTTATTTACTTTTTTAAATCTGCCAAGTAATCATCACTTTAAGGGTCAACACACTTATTGTTAGAGTGGTTTTATTACGCAATGCCTCACAACGCTTTGAGAATTGCACAAGTTATTCCTTTATCCACCAAAGCACATGTTCATTTCTTCATCAAGTGATGCATCAAAGGATTCTTCTGCTTTAAGATTCTTTTTGATTTGAATGATTATAGAACTTGTTAGAATTCTTGTCTTCCTTATAACTGGTAGTCATCTGATTCTGTCCCAACTTCTTGCTACCTCATGCGTAGCAATAACTCTTGACTGTGATAGCGACATTTATAGGTTCCTCGGGCATCAGCTAGCGCTGTGGCATTTGGCATGGGGCTGTTTAGTGGAAAAGGGAAGCTTGGGCCCGGGGCTCATCGAGCTTTTGCTGTTACCAGTGAAAGCCGTGCAAGTGATATAGTTCTGAGATTTCATGATTGTTGTCAAAGCTACAAGGTATGCTTGCAAATTCTATTTGGTGGCTGTCTTTAGTAGGTAACTTCAAATTCAATTGGTAATTCTTTTAAGTTTTTGCTTGTTTGTTGGGGCTTGATTTTATAATTGTGAGTACATTTGACCTGGAAACTAGTGCATTGAGCATCTCTAAATACAACATATTCCAGTTTCCGTTTTCAGAATTGTTTGAACCTGACTTCAAAGGCCCATTTTCGTGGTTGATCTTTTTTCTTCTCCTGACTTTAAAAGGTGTAGTTGATAACTGCTTCCATGATCAGTCTGTATGAATCCCAAGTCATTGTTCACTGGCTATTATAACTTCTATTGTTACTAGTAATTCAAGTTCCAACCATCTATACTTTATATAAATTCAATTAAATCATGCACTGAGAGCTGACATATCGCAAGAGAATTTAAGTTCTTTATTACTCTGATATGCCTCGTGGCATTATTGAAATTCAGCACTAAAAAGGGTTTGCTCGCATAAAGTGGAATTCAATTTTTCCCAATTGAACTAACCTCTTTCTTAACTGACAAAGTTCCCATCTCTTTATAATTACAATTAGCAGTGCATAAAATGGAAAACATTAGAAACTTTGAACTTTGATCAGACATTCATTTTTCAACTAAATGCCTCACTTCCTCTCATCCAATCATTATTTTGAACATACTCCCTACTAAACCTTATTTTTGAACGTATCTCCTAACTAATTTCCAGTAGGGTCTCTTCTCTAGTTAAATGAGGCAACAGAAATGGGTTGGAAGGAGTATTAATGAAGAATCATGGGAAACATTTTCCTTTTCCTCATTACCGTGAATCCAAGAAAAGACCCTTATCCAGATTTTGAGTTGCTAGTTATCGAGAATGATAAGAAGAACTTAAAAAGTTTATCACTAGCAGTCACTAGGAGATTCTTGCCTAGAATAAAGTGCAATCTTGTCTGTGTTAATAGAAAACGTGCTAAGTCCTTAGGGCATTTTCCCCTTTTTTAAAAATTGAAACAGAACCAAAAAAAGAAAAAGGAACTCCTTGCGGAATATTTATGAATTAGGTGTCAAAATCCTATTTCAGCTATTCAATGAGGTATTTAGTATCAAAGGCCTTGATTATTCGCTATTTTCTTGAATTGCACCCTCCAGTATCCTATCTTTCCCTCCCTGCATTTTCTGCTTTTCCTGCACCTACTTGTACTACTCTTGATTTGGTTCCTTTTTGACATATGTGTACACACTAATGTTTGATTTACATGTCATTTCTTTTTGGTGGCAGGATTTTAGGAAAAGTCAGAAGCCAACTGTAGAGAAGCTCAAAGGACCTATATTAGATGAGATTACTCATGCACTAGTGAGGCAATATGGTCTTAATTTTACTAAACTGGATGTATCTTCTTTATGGTTTCTCTGCAAACAGGTTAGTATTGCAATTATTAGTGCTCCGGTGGTGCTAAACCTTTTGCCTTTTCTTTTTTCTTTTTTATTTGTTTGATCTGGGGATAGGTACTTGTCTCTAATTGACAACTCCTACAGGAAGCTTCCCTGTTGAACATCACCAATCAAGCTTGTAGTCTATTCAGGCCGTCTGAGGTACTTTAAGTTAATCCTTTTTTTTCATGGTTCCTCTTGGACTTAATCAGCAGCAGAGAAAGGGAGGAGGGGTTTGTAGGTTCCTATTTTGGTAGTTATATTTCTGCATTCCTGTTGTAGAGCTCTCCTTTGTTTATCTTAGGTCATAACTGGGGAAGTTGGGACCTTAAGAGTGATTAGGCTAACTCGATTGATGTTTGATTAAAAGGTAGTCAGCCCTTGTTATAGGCAGATTTCTCTATTATACAATGTATCTCCAGCTCTTCCTTGGGATAGGAAGTTGAAGCCTTGTTGTTTCCATCCATCCTTATTGACAAGTATCATTTCTTAGGTTTCTTTGTTGGAATGGGCGGATGATTTGGAGTCGTTCATACTGAAGGGCTATGGTAATTCACTAAATTACCGAATGGGAGTC